GCTTTTATTAATTTTTTAAAATGTTGTAAAAAGAATAAGGAGAAAATAAATTCACGCTCTCCCGCACCGTGAGGCAACAAGCAGCCAGTCCCAAAATGATTCGCCCTCCCATGTAGATAAGTGGGTATGAATATTTTATGAAATTTGGCATCATAGTGTACACAGTGTTTTGTAACCTGGCAGTTAGTCACAATAATATGAGGCAGGTATCTCGGTGTCAAATAGACTGGACCATAGTGGCACATGTCATGGCTCCGCTACTTAATCTGGTTCCTGTTCTCAGGTAAATTAGTTAAGGGGAAGAAGCACCCCTTTAAAGGGCCCTTTCGCTTTAAAACAATGTGTTAATTATGTGCCATTTAAAGTATTTGATTAAAAGTACTTCCAACGACATTCTGCCCAAACTCCTTTGTTACTCAAGTTTATATTACTCTGTGTCCTTGAAAACAATAAAGCTGACATAAAAGCATTTATCTAATGAATATTGCAATTACCCCTGCACTGACTTTTTTTCTTACCTAGAGTGGGTGACACTTCAGGGTTTCTGGATCGAGTTGTACGGATGAAGAAACTGAGGCTTGGAGAGACGAGGTCACTTGACTAAGGTCTTAAGTTCAGCTGTGGCCACTTAACATTTCTTGACCATCTGCCGTCTGCAGGACTTCAAAGGTGAATACTGTCACCCTCCAGGTGCTCCCAGGCAGGTAGGGGGATAGATGTGTAAGCATTGCTGTGATTAGTCTCTGCTTTACCAGCTCAGGCAAAAAAAATAAAATAATTCACATTTCTTTCAAAGTTCAAATCAGAATGATTAGCAGAAAGTCTGGCTTTTCTCCCCAGATTTTCCTCCTAAAATATTTCCAAGCACCTTAAATTTCTGTACTAGTCAGGGTGGTGGCAGGAAACAGCACAACTCAAGTTGGGTCATCTGAAAAGGGTTCAACAAAGGGATTATTAACTGAGATGCTGGTGAGGTCAGTTAAAGCAATGACGGTGTCCTGGTCTTAGTAACTCGGGGTGTGTGAGAGGGTGATGGAAGGGAGCCTCTACTGGACTGGGGTAAGGAGAGAGAGCGCTGTGTGGATAGAGGTGTCTGACGGGAAATGTGGCCTTTGGAAGAGAGATGGATACCCCTTGTTGACCCAACAGGGACAGAATCAGGACAATGAACAACCTCTCCTCCCCTTCTTCTGCCCTCTGATCTCCTGCTAGTGGCCACCCCTCACTGGCCAATCCTAACTAGAAGGCAGAGAGCTAGGGGTCTGCTGAGTTGGCCCATGCATGCCAGTCCCCCCGGCAAAGAGCAGGGAAGAGAACGTTGTAGACTATATCTGGTGGGGTAGAGGAAAGATATTCAACACTTTTGTTCTCAAGTCAGTGAACCAATCCTCTTGTGCTTGCCCCCAGGACAGCAGAGTTCAGAGGTGCCCCTAAGAGCTGAATTTCACTTTTTTTTTTCTGACACCTGCTGGTCCTGGTTGTCTCAGAGTTTCTCAGCTGTTACTAATGGGCAACCCTGAGCCCCAGCATTGGTCTGCTATTAGGTCCTGTCTGTCTACTGCAGTACTGCTGTACCAGCTGAGGCACCGTGCCCTGCAAACCTGAAGAGACCTTGAGTGAGGCACTGCTTCCTGCATGCATTACTATAGAGACCCAAGTCAGCCTGCACCGTGAGTCCTATCTAGTAATGGTGGCCGTGGAAAGACTCCTGTATGCAGCTGCCCATTACACAGGGGTTAGATGAGGTGCAGGGGGGCGCATCTTCTCTTAATGCGCACAGACACCCCCCTGGGGAGAAAGCAGCTACCAGGGTGGCTGGGTAGGGCAGATGATTCCTTAAAAGTAGCCTCACATCTGAAGTGTCTTATTAAGAAGAGGTTACCTCTGTAACCTCTTCCTTTCCAGATGAATTCTTGATCTTGGCTTAATTTTGAGAATTCAAGCAGATGCACAGGAGAGCCCTGCAGACCAAATCCCAGGTCTTAAGCAAGCCCAAAAGTCGTCTGTTATACATCTTCTGGAAGTATTGGTTATATGCTTGCTTTACATCTTCATAACTAAAAAGAGTCACCCAAAGGGCCCAGAACAAAGTTTGCACAAAGACAAATAATTTTAGCTACCTCAGTAGATACAGAACAAGCATTTGACAAAATTTAACATCTCTTCATGGTCACCATACTCAACAAATTAGCAATAGCAAATCCTCAACCTGATAAAGAGCATATGTGGAACCCCACAGCAAGTCTTCTACTTAGTGGTAAAGGACTGAATGTTTCCCCCATGATCAGGAACAAGCAAGGATGTCTGTTCTCACCCCTTCCATTTAACATTCTACTGGAGGTTCTGGCCAGGGCAATTAGACAAGAAAAAAAAAAGGCATCAACATTGGAAAGGAATAAGTAAAATTATTATTTCCAGATGGCATGATGTTGTATACAGGAAATTCTAAGGTGTCTACAGTGACCCTATTAGAACTAATGAACAAGTCCGGCAAGGTTGCAGGCTACAAGATCTACATACAAAAAGCAACGTATTTCTATACACCAGCAGTGAATAATCTGAAAATGAAATTAAGAAGACAAACTCCATTTACAACAGCATCAAAAAGAACAAAATAAGGAGGAAAATTTTTAATAAAAGAAGTACAAAACCTGTACTTTGAAGATGTATATATGGGATGTGAGGAATTGAGAATACTCACCCTCCTTTGGGAATAATGTAAATTTGTGTTGCCGCTCTTGAAAGATAGCCTGGCATGATAGAGTAGAACTGAATAGGCATATCCCATGCAATTCTGCAGTTTCGTTCCTAGACTAACACTCCTGGACATATGTACATAAAAGTACAAGAAGTTGTGTTCATAATAGCCCCAAACTGGAAACAACCTGAATATCCATCAGTGATAAGGTGGTTTAATAAGTCATTGCATATTCAAGCAATGAAACACTGTAGAGCCAATAATATGAAGTACAGCTACAAAAGCATATCAAAACCAAAATGCTGATTAGAAGAATTAAATCTGTGCAATTCCCAGTTACAGAAAGTTTAAAGAAAAAATTAAGCAATACACTTACAGTCTGAGGATGCATATACATATAATAAAACTATGCAGAAAAGCAAGAGAATGATTAAACTAAAAGTCTAGATGATGGGTGTCAGAAGGGGCACAAAACATCTTCTGGTGAACTGGCAATATTCTATTTCTTAACCTAGATATTGGATAGTATGATGGTTAATTTTATGTGTCAACTTGGCTAGGATAAGAGATGCCCAGATAGCTTGTAAAACATTATTTATGGGTGTTTTTGTGTGGTGAGGGGGCGGTTCCAGAAAAGAATAGCATTTTAATTGATAATAAAGTGATGGCCCTCACCAGTGTGGTGGGCATCATCCAATCCACTGAGGGCCCAAACAGAACAACGGGGAGGAAGGGTGAATTTTCTTTCTCTGCAGAGCTGGGATGTCCACCTTCTCCTACCCTCGGACATCGGGCTCTTGCTTCTCAGGCCTTTGGGCTGGAACTATGCCACTGCCTTTCCTGGACCTCCAGCTTGCAGACAGCAGATCATGGTAGCAGATCTCAGCCTCCATAATTGCATGGGCCAATAATAAATCTCCTTCTTTGTATCTATATATTTCCTGTTGGCTCTGTTTCTCTGGAGAACCCTGACTAGTACAGATACACAGGTGTTTTATTTTATTCTTTTACTTTAAATTGTACATACACATCTTATATGCTTCTGTATGTATGATTTATCATGTGCACACACAATTGGGATCTTTCCTGCTTAATTTACAAGCACTAGTGGCAGTGAGGGACTCAGGAAAGTGAGCTGGTGAAGCAGGAGTGCGTACTGTCTGATATGCTAAGAATCTAAATTGACCTTGACTTTCATCTCCTCCAGCTTGATTTACTCCTTAACCGGCTGCTAGTGTTTCTGCTGACATGGTAACTATCTCTGACACCAGTGACATTGCACAGTGCTCCCTCACTAGTATCAGTTTGTGACTTCATTCCACTAAATAAGAATTACATTTTAGTTAAAATCAGATCCACTTTAAAACAAAACAGAAATACTATTTTGCTTATTTTTTTATCATGTCTCTAATTCTTCTATCTCCTCTATGAGTGGCCAGTTGATTCAGACTATTTATTTATTTATCTGTTTATCTGTTTATTTATCTATTTTCATTTTAAGAACCGAATCAATTTTATAAATCATTTTGGTACATTATTCACATTGTGCATTTCTCATCACATAGTTATTTCTTAAAAAATTTTATAAATGACCATTGAGTTGTGGTCAAAAAAATTCACAGAGATTTCCCACATGTTATAGTTAACTCCAGAGACACTTCTTCAAATAATATTTACAACTTAAAACAAGTACATTATTTTGCTGTGATAAATTATTGGTTTCGTACTCATTTTAGTTTATAAATATGTCTTTGTTTTCTAATTGTTGTGTACTAGAAATTTCTTCAATAATTCTTCCATGATTGGTCCAAGTGACATCCTCAAGTACTTGATAAAAACGTTATACAGGTTTTGTCCAGTTACCAAGACAGCAAAAGACTCCCAAGGACTTATTATTCTTTTGTTCTGCCTTTTGTCTTCTTTCATTTTTACTACTCTGGAAAGCTATATACTCTGTCTTATTTTAGTAATTTTCCTTAAAGTTTTAGCCTGCTTACTTAATTTTTTTTAATCTCTCTCTAACCCTTTCATTTTAAAGAGGTTAACATTTTATAGTTTCTCTAAATATTTCTTACCGCTTCACAGATAATGTGATTTTTTTCCCAATGAAGCACAGAAAATAAGTGGCAGATACCTAGAGAACTGGTAGACTGTGAACTTAGATAATTTACCATTCACCTCTTGACTCTCACATTTTTTTGTTTCCATACTCATTAGAGGTATTGTTTCCTAAAAAAGTTGTTAAAATTCTAAAGTTCCTGATAAGTATTGCTGTCACTCCATTTCTCTGCCACTACACCGTGTTTACTTGCATTATTTAAACTGAATTCAGACAACACTTTAAATGATGATATGCACTACCTATTTCCCTCCCTCCCTCTCTCTCTTTCTCTTTCTTTCTTTCCTTGTGGACATAGTCTGCAAACCCCTATGTCATAATTCTGAATTTTTTTCCCCTCTTTAGGACCTCTAATGAATATTCAAGACACAAGTGGACCAAAATTTTCTGGTGAATAAAATATGTATTTGTCACACATCTTTAAATAATACAAAGAAAGCTGAATCTTAAAAAATTTTTCTGTCTGTATATATATTTTTATTGAAGTCTAGTTAGTTTACGATGTGTCAATTTCTGGTGTACAGCACAATGCTTCAGTCATACATGAATATACATATATTCGGTTTCATATTCTTTTTCATTATAGGTTACTACAAGATATTGAATATAGTTCCCTGGGCTATACAGTATGAACTTGTTGTGTACCTGTCTTATATATATTAGTATCTGCAAATCTCGAACTCCCAATGTATCCTTTCCCACTCCCTCCCTCACTGGTAACCATAAGTTTGTTTTCTATGTCTGTGAGTCTGTTTCATAAATAAGTTGGGCTTTTTTTTTTTTAGATTCCAAATATAAGTGATATCATACAGTATTTTTCTTTCTCTTTCTGCTTGCTTCACTTAGAATGAC